TATTGAATTTAAAGGCGAATTTTTTTATTGAAATATTGATTAAAAAATATATATTATTTATATTTGATTATATTAAAATACCTTTGAAGTTTTTTTTATATATAAAGATCTATTTTTATTGTGGATAAAACAATTTGGATTTTGTAATAGAAAAAGATTATTTAATTTAAAGAAAAATTTTTAAATAGAATTTTTGTTGTTGAATATAAGTTGAAGCCTATTTTATTACCAGAAAAAGAATTAGCCTTTTGCCTTTCACGATAATCCTCATTTGTTGTTTTTAATAAAATATATATCTGTTCAATATTATATTTATAATAAATATACATATAAAAATGTTCTATTTCTATATTTAGTAAAAATATTTTTACAAAGCTATTTTAAAAAATCATGAATTTTTGTGAAATTATATAAAAAAGAATTTCATAATTACGAGTTGGTATTTAAATTATACTCTATTTTTAAGTTAAATAAAAAAATTTCTATCAACAATTTTTTATATATTTTACATAGTTAATAGTTAAAATAATGTTCCAAAAATACGACCAATAAAATTCTTATGACATATTATATATTTTTTACTTATCTTATATCCAAACATTTAAATAAAATTCATAAAATATTAATTAAAAGATTTAGATGATGGTTTAAGTTGTAATCAAGTTAGATCAAAAAGATGTTTTGATAAATATACAGTGTTGGTTAAAAAATTACAATACCCACATAGATTAAATATGAAAATAATGAATTTTGTAACTGATAATAAACTTGTAATGTAATCAAATATGTATAAAAAATGACTCATAGTTTTAAAAATTAAGCTTTTAAAAATAACATATGATGAAAAACTGAAAGTGATTGGACAAAAAATGTAATAAAATTTATTAATACTTAATAGTATACCCTTTTTGCTTCAAATAATGAAAAAATTCTATCATTCATTAAAAAACAAGCTTTTCACAGATACATTTTGGTATTTTATACCATTCTTTAACCACATATTTTTCTAATTCTTTAATGTTTCTTGGTTTCCTTAAATGTACATTTCTCTTCATAATAGTCTATATATGTTCTATTGGATTCATGTTAGGAGATTGAGAAAGTTATTATAATAGTTCGATATCTTTATTTTCAAAAAAATCGTTAGCAATACCCGATGTATGTTTAAGATCATCGTCTTGTTGAAATAAAAAATCTTCCTCCATATTTAATTTTCTTATTGAGGTCAGGTCATTAAATTTCTTTTTAAAATCTCAGTGTATTTTAAACTATCCATCTTTCCTTTGATAATTTCAATATTACCAACACCTTTTGATGAGAAACAACCCCAAATCATTAATGATCCTCCTCCATGTTTAACAGATTGTGTCATAAACCTTTCATTAAACCTTTCACTTTTTGGTCTTCTAACATAAACCATGCCATCAGAGTCAAAAAATTGATTTTAGTTTTATCACTTCACAATATTGATGTCCAAAAATCATTATCTTTCCATAAATATCTTTTAGGAAAAATTAAAATTTTCCAAAATATTTATTTTGCTCAGTAATGGTTTTTTCAGTGACTTATATACCTTTAAATCTACCTGAGATAACTTTCTTCTTATAATTCTTACAGAAACTTTTAAATTTAAATCTTTTTTTATTTCCTCTTTAAATTTATTAAATCCATATTTTAGATTTTTACTTACTTTTAATTTCAAATAATCCACTGTATGATTATTTAACAATACATCTCTTCCTGAACCACGTTTTCTGTCAAAATTGCCATATTCATGATATCCTTTAATTACTCTAAATAATGTTGAATTATTGATATTAAACTTTTTTAATATTTCAATTTTATCAACATTAGCTTCATATAAAGCAATCATTTGTGTTTTTTCTTCATTTGTAAAATGTTTTGTCATGAGGCAATAAAAAATTAATATTTTTTTAAATTAAAATATCGGGAAAGGATAAAAAATTTTATTTTATTGCATTTTTTTGTCAAGTCATTTTCAGTTTTTCATCATATGTTATTTCTAAAGCTTAATTTTTAAAACTATAAGCTCATTTTTTATACATATTTGATAATATTATAAGTTTATTGACAGTTTCAAAATTCATTATTTTCTTATTTAATCTATGTCGGTATTGCAATTTTTTTGGCCATTACTGATTATTTAGAAACATCCGAGTTTATTTAAATATCTATATCCTTTAATCATAAATATAATACAAGAAGAGTTTCTAAAAATACTCACAATATGTAATTTTATATAAATCTCTTGATAATTCGAATTTTTTATTATATTATTTAAATTTCCAAAGAAAATTGATTATTTTTTTTCATGTTGGGTAAAAAAGGTCTTATAAAATAAACAAAATAAATACAAAAATATAAGAATTTATTTAATTATGAATTATTAATATAGCAGGATGGTAGAACTATTTTTACATGGTTTTAATGAAAACTTTATAGTGTTTTTTATACCTAGGTGTTTTAAAAAAACACGTATTGTGTGTATTTTGTTAATAAGATATAAAAAGAAGACCATGTATTAGAAATAAAAATAGGTGATGTTTTGGTACTTTAGTAACAAATAATTTAACTACACTAGAGTGTTCTTTTAATTAGCGCTTGTGACATCTCACGCACTATGAATTGATTTAGAAACCAATTATTTAATAATTAGTCAATTCTACCTTTAAAAATATTTAAAGAAATTTTTTTTAAATAAAGGATGGTTAAAATAAACAACTTTTTAAAACATTTATTACGGGAATAATCCTTAAATCACACGGGAAATATTATAACACATACCGCCTACTGCATAGAGTATGAATTTTGAATCTAAACAATAATTGTGTTTAGTGCCGCAAAAATAAAGTTTGTAGTTGTAGTTGTAAGTTTTCATAAAAAGACAATAATCCAAATATTAAATATTCTCAATGTTACATGATAAACACCAATTCAGATATAAATATTAATGGTTTAAAGAATAAACAGAAACAATTAAATTTAAAGAAAAATATCTGGATTTAAAGCTGATAAACAATATATACTTGAAATACGAATGCTAATTAGCTTAAACATATTCATATTTTCGAAAAAGATTTAAAATTTACATATTCTGAGAAGAAATTGCAACTAGTGTAATGACCAGTCTAAGTCTATCATAACCAGCATCATAATTCCTAAGTTTTATAAGATTGTTTTAATGAATATAATATTGATTTAATGTTGTCAATATTAAGTCAACATCCTTTCCTGTTTCCTATTATCAAAACTATAAATAAAAGTTGTAAAATATTGAATATAGTAATTTTTAAAGCATTAAGACATACCTTAATAAGTCTAACGAGTACTTAGAAAATACCAATATATGTTTAACTGATGACACATTAATATAAAACCGTAAAGCATTTGATTTATTTTTCTTTGAACTTCAAACTCATCAAAAAAATAATAGTGTAGATAATTGTAGAAATATAGATAAGGTTATTACCATAATGAAAGTCTAGAAATTACAAGCGAACAAAAATCTTCTAATGAGACAAAAAGATTCAAATTAATAAATCATTTAACACTAAATAAAAAATTGATAATTTTTCAAAATATAGCAATAAAAAAATAAGTCTTACCATAACTTTTGCAAATACAAAAATGGCGTAGTCACACCTCAAAAGATTGTATTAGATTGAATCAGAATCAAAACAATAATTTTAACAATAAATGTTCTTATTCAATAAAGGAATCTGATATCTTTTTATAAAGAATTGAAATAGGAAAAATTATAAATACAAAAGCTGTATTATTTGTAATCGATTCTGGTTTATTCAATAACTTTATATCAAAAAAGATATTAAAATACAATCTAGTTGTTAAGCAGAAAAATAGTCTTATTAGAATTCAAGTTGCCAGTGTCTAAAATTTAGTGAAAATGGACTATATAGAACTAGATATTACCTTTGTCATATCTCCCAATACTATTTTAAAAATATAATTTTTGGTATCAGATACATTCATTGATGACCTAATTTTAGGTTTAAAATTTTAAGAAAAAATAATGTTTATATTTTATTCAGCAGTTCGTTAATTAATTCTCATGATTCAATATAGCATTTATTATACCATTAACTAATCTTTCAAAATCTGATATTGACCATGCTGAAAAGGTTAAGTGACTAAGTATAATTTAACAGGTAAATAAAATATTTAAAGAATTTATGGAAAATAGCAATGATATTGGAGAAATAAATAACATATATCACTAATTAAACTTAAAAGAGGTATTAACAGGAGTATAAAACCTTATAAGGTACCCTTAACTCTTTTAAGACAGTTAAAGAATAAAATAAACACTTTGATGTAAGGTGAATAATAAAAAGAAACGCGTCAAACATCTTATCAATTTATTTCTCGATATTGAAAAAGAATGGTAATTTAACATTAGTTATTGACTATCAGAGACTTAACTCTAATATGATAAAATCACATTTCTCAATTCTTCGTTTATCTAAACAAATTTATTCTTAAAAAATTCACTGTTTGTTTAGAATCGACTAAATTTTGGCTGCTATTAGATTAAAGTCAAACCTGAAAATATATACAAAACGGTTTAAGTTACCCTTTGTTATTTATGAATTTATTTAGGTGCTTTTCGGTCTAACCAATACTCTAAAAACCTTTCAACAGTCAATGAACATTCTACTTGGGTATTTAACACATATGAGAGTATACTTAGATGACATTTAATTTATTCAGAAACACAATCAAAACATGTCATTCATATCAAGGAAGTACTAAATATTCTAGAAACTAATAATATTACTATCAACCTCAAAAATATGATGGTTTGAGTCAGAGGTGGAATATTTTGGTTATATTATTAACACTGAAGGTATCAGACTAATTACTGAAAAACTTTTTACTAAACTTCTATTTAATAATCTATCAAATCGCAAACAATTACAAAAATTTATAGGGTTCATAAACTGGTTTAAGAATTTTATTGCTAATTTTTTAAGTATGTATGCGTCTTTATCTCGCATTGTATCAAAGGATGTATCATTAAAACGGACTTAAGAAAATATTAAAGCTGTAGAAGATATATTTAATTATATTAAAATGAAGAGTCGGTTATATTATCCTAATTCCATAAAACCATTTGATTTTTATATCGATATAAGTAATCTTAGTATTGGTGCGGTGCTGGTTCAAGATAATAAGTTGATTGTTACATTTTCAGAAAATTAAACACAGCTTAAGTCAATTACACTGTTTTTGAAAAAGAATGTTTAGCTGTAGTTCTTGCGCTTAGTCATTTTAAAACCATAATATTTAATTCTTCAATAAATATTTACACTGATCATTCTAATTTACTATGTTAAAATTCTTCAAAATTACAGCGAATTTAAAGATGGAAATACTTATAAAAGAGTTTAATCTAAATTTTATTCATCCTAAAGGTTCAATTGATTCTGGTGTAGATTTTTTGTCTCGTATATATTCAATTGTTAAAAAGGAAGAGGGGTATATTGATGCACTTATTAACCAATATTATGGGATTTTAGCACACCCAGGATCAAAAAGTTTTTAGTATACTATTAACCACATCAATCCATCTATTAGTAAGCAATATATGAAAGAACACACAAACTTTTGTGAAACATGTTTAGCGAATAAAAGACTTTCTGTTAAATATGGGAAATTGAATGGCGAGGTAATGACTGGTAATCCTTAGAAGGTTATAAATATAGATATAATAGGACCAATTGAGTTATAAGATGGGTGGAAAATCAACCTCTTAGATATAATCTTTAATTATACTCGATATTTTTAACTTCAAATTATGTCTAAAACAGATTCTAATGAAATTACTAAAATTCTAGAATCATTTTGGTTATCTAGGTTCCCTTTTCCACAAACTATTATAACTGATAAATGGGTTCAGTTTATATGAAAAAACTTTGAAAACCTACTCAGTCGACATAATATTAATCACTATAGAACTTTATGTTTAAACATAAGAAGAAATTTAATTATCGAATGCTTATGTGGTGATATAGTTGCTGTATTACGTTGTATTGAATCAGATTTTATCAACAAGACAGCTGCTATTAGTCTCCATCATACTATTTTAGGCTGTGTTTCTTTATAACATATTTTTGGAAGATTTAAGTTTCTATCTGGGAAGTAGAGAATTCATAAGAGCTTTTGAAGACTTCTAAAGTTAGAAATCAGAAGTAAAATGATTAATACAAAGATCATATTAATAAGACCAAAAGAGACCTAAATATTATTAACAAGTATGTTTTTGTTCGAAATAAAAATACTTCAAAACTTACACCTAGGTTTCTAGGTCCTTAAAAATTTGATGAGGTTAAACCTGAATAAATAGTTTAACTGTGGATATTGAAGACAAGTTAAAAAGATTTTCATTTAGAGACGTTAAAGTCTTGAAGGAGGAGAAGGGTGTAACATTTTACATTAATATAGATTGATTTATAAACTAATCATTTAATGATTGGTCAATTTTACCTTTAAAAATATTCAAAGAAAACCTCTTAAATAAAGGATGGTTAAAACAAATAACTCTTTAAAAATTTTATTACATGAACAGTCCTTGAACCGTGCAAAAAATATTATAATACATACCACCTACTACACAGGGCACTGTTTTGATTGGCGCCCCATTTTTAGTTTTAATCCGTCAATTGGATTGGCGCCCCATAAATTTTTATAAATTGATAAAATAAAAAATAAGTCAACTAAATTTATTAATGCTCGCCACCTAATAATCTCATAAATTCCTCAAACTCCGATCCTTTAAATCGGTAACAAAAGCAAAAAAAGCTTAAATGACTTTGTAATAGGGAAATAGTTGTTCCTCTTTTATTCGCCATTATTTTAAGTTTGGAGTGGCTCCAAATACACTCAATCAACTGAGTATGACACCAAGTTGTTGGGTCAATAAAATTCTCACTGTGGTTTACCACATTGTGGCCACAAAAGTACAAGTTTAATCCACAGTACGCCTTCCATCTATCCGAGACAATGACACTTTGCGTATCCACATATTCAAGCAACAGTGGCAGCAAAGTGTCTCTATCTCATTTCTCTACAAGAAACATTTTGACTTTCCTGGAGCCTTGTTCTGGCATTCCAAAAACCCATGGTCCATCAACTCTATTACCAAAGTTGTTAGTGCGATTGTTAATGCCATTAATCTCCATAAAATTATCAAGAAGAAGTCTTCCTCGGTTGTACTTTCGACGACCTCTAAAAAGAGATTCATCTATTTGTACAACTTTCCCCGGTCCTCCTAATTTTTCACTCATAATATAATCATGAGTTTCTAATCAAATGAAATTTGTCCAGTTGGTTACTGTATCAGTTCCTTTAATTTGAGTCGCAGTCATAATATATGATACTGTTCTCTGCTTAAAATAAAGAAAGATAAGTTTAACCAGTTTCTGAACTGATGTCACAAGTCGTGTATTCCTTCTTCATAACAAAAGAAGGTATTGGCAAAGAGACTCTTCTCTTTACGACACGACTTGCACCAGAGAAAGAAGTGAGTATCAACTCTCTTTCTAATTCTTAAGGAGAGTCTTTGGCTACCGCAAAATCCACACTGTCTTTCGACTATGGGTTTGATGGCGCCAATTGACTCCAGGAATGTTAAAAACGAGTTATTATCATTTATAGCGTCTAAAATTTCGCTATACTGCATTAAGGGTGAAAAAAATTTTGATGAATTTATTTAAAATTTTCTATATATAAAATTTTAAATAAATTTCATAAAAATTTTTTATTTAATACAAAA